ACGTTTCCCTGATATTTCCCTGTAATCCATTTGTTTAGGTTCCCTAAGTATGTTGTTCTGGGCGTACTCCAGCCTCGCTTGCCCTCAATTTTGCCAGTGAGAGCTAGATGTTCAAGACCCTTATGTCTATTCAGGTGTCCCCAAAACTCCTTTTGTCGTTCCCTGATTGTTTTTAACATTGAGCTTTCTCACGTGGGCTTCATCAAGCACTACCTCATTTGATTTCTTTTCCTTCCACGATACTCTTAGCAGTCTCCTAAGAAACCACACTTCTGTTGCTTCTATTTTATTTTCACCGTCTTTAGAGATTGTTCAGCATTCACAGCCATATAGAAGGGCTGACCAAACATAGCATTTCAGGACTTTCATTTTGGTGCTCATTGAGATGTTTTAATTTTTCAGGATTGGGCTCATTTTATAGAAACTAACCTTAGCCATTGCAGTTCTCCACTTTATTTCTGTGGAACATTTGGCGTCAGATGTTATCATATAACCTAGATATTTAAACTGTTGGCCTTGTTTGATATTTTCACCCTTGCTAATGAGATTACAACTAGGGTTTCCTGCTTTTTTGGATATTACCATGCATTCTGTTTTCTTTACATTCTTTACATTCAACAATAATATAGTATAAAGTGCATAGAGCCTGCTGTTGAGCGGGGATTTGCGCTATACAAATACTATCTATCTATTAACAATAATCCTTTACGTAATTCGGCTACTGGACTCTTAATAGTGAGGTTGCGGGTTTTGTGGCGCGAAGCTCAGCTCAACCAGGCGTTATGTCCTTGCTTGGCACTAAACACGAATTTTCTTCCTCTCACATAGGTGGGAATGGAATGCGTAGCCAGCGAGACGACGTCTCAGTAACCAGCCAACAACAGCCAAATATCTTGTCAGTATTTTAGTGCTTTAATGCCTGTAAAATGACAGTATGTATTATAAATATGCTTCCCATGAAGTTGAGATTGTTGCATATTACTATCAGGTCTGCCGATGAAATAATAATAATAGCTTGTAAAACGTGTAGAGCTTACAGCAGAATGGGAATCTGCGCTATACAAGTTTTAATATTTTTGTATTAATAGTATGCGTGGCATCGTGGTGAAATCAAAATTTAAAAACAGAAATTAATGACTTCAGCTGACATTTGAATGAATCAAAGGATTTTTATCTCTCTTAAACTCCTAGGCAAAGCATTGACAATGGCAATGACAATCTTTATTCATCTCGCTGGGAGAAATTTGTCTTAATTGTTAACATTCCAGATCTTGAGACCTTGATATTCAAATGCTTTTTCGCCCATTGTTTTAATTTTCCTTGATGGTAAAAGAAATTTCTTTTTCTTTGCTGATGACCTTAAAACTGCTAGTTGGAATGTACATTTCCAACAGATTTGATAAATATGATGGCGCATTATCATTCAAGCATTTGTGACATAGGGTGGCCAACTCGATACAATTCTTTTCTCAACAGGAGATCAATGCAATGTCGGTAAAAGAGGTGTAGCACAGTCTCCCTTTCTTTCTGTAAAACTAGATGTGCAGCAATTTTTGGACTGTTTGAAGTCTTTTAACTTTCTCCAGTGGTGTTCCTGATAACACGGAGTTACAATAATCTAGTCTTGATAAAACTAAGCTATTTACTAGTAAAGCAGTGTACTTAGTATTAGTATTGATTAGATGACGTATTTTACTAATTTGTCTTATTTCTAAATACATGCAGCTGATCAGATGATTTACCTCAGCCGGCATTGCCAAACTGGAATCGGAATAGAAGCCAAGATTCTTAACTTTTCTTGAAAATGCAATTTTTGCATCACCAATTGTCATGTGATCGTGGTCAACCTCATTAACAGACTTTGCACTGCAGAATGACTTTTTATTAATCATCATTTAACATCAATTTGTTTCTGTTCATCCAGTTTTCCACTGACGCAGTACAATTTTCAGCACGATGGACAAGTTCATCTAAGTTGGCAAACATTGTTGAACCATAAATTTGGGTATAATCAGCGTAAACCTAATACTTTAAGTCATACTTAACTATTTCCTTAACAAGTGGTTAACTCACAAGGACTCTTACGGTTTTGAAGTTACCTCTTCCAGTCGCAAGTATCTATATATCTGTTAAAGAGAATTGTGTATCAAAACCTTCATAAATCCAACAACTGAGGCGCACGCCCTTGATTCCCCGCAATGACCCACATTATAATTACGTCTCGTCAAGCACACAGTGCAAATCTGTGTTGTCAACAGCCTTGGCAACTCCCTAAACAACCCACAATCAGTGACGACCTCGTTTTGGAACCGTACTTGAAAAGTCACCACTCAATTCTTTGTGTGTGTGTGTGTGTGTGTGTGTGTGTGTGTGTGTGTGTGTGTGCTTGTGTTTGTACTCATGTGTATGAGTGGGAATGTGAGTGTGTTGATGAGTGTGTACGCGTGTATGCATTTACCATCCCGCAGCAAATTCCTCTTTGTTCAGATCAACGGATTTTGGCATGAGCAGTGTGAACAGCATGCGGATAAGAAAAGAAACCACACTATTCGACATGCTTCATAAACCACACAAAAGGAAAGGAAATACTAACCAAGGATGCTATAAAGAAAAGATGGGAAAATGTTTTCAAAACTTCTCAACCAATATGTTTGTCACGGACAACAAGGAGAATATTCAAACCAGCATATGTAAAGAAAACTGAACTGAACGCCCATATTGTGCAGAGAAATAAACAAAGCATTTAAAAATAAGCCCCAAGAACAAAGCCCTAGGACCAGATGACAACACACAGTAGACGCCATAAGAGCTTGTAGCAACGTAGAAACTTGCGTGCGGTGACTGAAGTAAATGTTTAATTAACAGAGGCTGGGAACAAAGGAAATACCCAGAAAATTGGCAGAAGGTCATAGTAGTACCGTATAAATAAAAGAAGAAAAACAACAAACGTGGTTGTACTACTACTACTACTACTACTACTACTACTACTACTACTACTACTACTACTACATACAGAGGAATCTCTTTACTAGGCCATACAGGGAAAGTGGACGAGAAAACAATGGAATGAAGGAAAGGACTTATCGTAGGGAGAAATTTAAGAGCTGTGTTTGGATTCCGTAGAGGAAAAGGCACCGACCAATGTCAGACCTGGACACAAAACAAACAAAATTGCTGCATGCAAGATAACATGTCTCCGCAAAGCCCTAAACATGACAAGAAATGACAGGCAGAGAAATGAAAATGTACGAACAACTGTTGGCACGGAGTCCTGCCGGCATTTCATAGAAGAAAAAAAAAGAATACAATAGTCTGGCCACCTGCCACAAATGTCACCCAGCCAGCTGCAGCCCAGAGAGTCAAAAACACAAAGTACCCAGGCTACAAAGGAAGGGGTAGGCCACGATAAAGATGGAAAGAGGGAGTCAAGGGAACCATGAGAAACTGCAACATCTCATTTCAAAGAGCTGTAGAGTTGACCTTCCTTACAAAACTGCATATCCCCTCGACGTTCAACAACAGAAAATGAAAAAATGACGGTAAACATTGAAGTAAAAATACGTATCTTTAATGTATATTGATCTTATCTATCCTATAATATGCAAAAGCATTGTCTATTGATCTTATCTATCCTATAATATGCAAAAGCAATGCAACACCTTTTTATTTTTGGACCGTCGTTCTTCATGATCCCTTCCAGGACTACCCACTCCGGGAGGATGACGTCATCCTGTGCTCCTACCCCAAGTCCGGCTGTCACTGGGTGTGGGAGATCTCCCGACTGCTGATGTCCGGCCGGACAAGTGCAGACAAAGTGGAAAAAGAACACTACATGATGGAAGCCTCCAGTTGTTTCCATTACGGCGATATAGCCGACCTCCCATCGCCCCGACTTCTCAACAACCATGAGGTGAGGCCCAATTAGGTTATAATTTTTTAACAGTCAATGCGTAGGTACTTATTGGAAAATGTCACCAGTTGACGAGTAGTTCCGTTAGTATCATCATCATTATCAATATCATTTTGGCACCACTAGCATTATTGTAATTGATATCGTAGTCCATGTTGTTAACGTTATGGTTTCCCTTTTTTTTCAGTTCTTCGAGAACCAGCCCAAAGACATCTTAAAGAAAGGCGTCAAGGTGATCCATGTGTACAGAAATCCCAAAGATGTTGCAGTCTCCTACTTCTACCACCATAATAGGATCCCATCCTATGAATATAGCAACTCGGACTTCTCCAAATATCTGCCCAGGTTGGTGGTTTGTTCATAACTTTATAAAGTTCTGCTTAAATGTAATCAAAATTAATTCGGGGGGGGGGGGAGAAACGTTTTTTGGGGGTTTTTTTTAGAATAGAAGACCAATCCAGTTGAAAATCCAGATAATTGAAGTCCCGAGATCTCACACAAGATGCTGGACGACTTAAGAGCAAATACAAGAACTGAAAATCTTCTGCCAAGTACAAATCAACGCACAAACTTTTGGAATCTCAGTGGTCTTGTGGTTAGGCTCTCGACTCTCAACCCTAATGTCGTGGGTTCGATTTGCGTCAGGGGTCCGACGTTGTATCATCAGGAAAGGCACTTTACACGAATTTTAAACACTCAACTCAACCAAGGTGTAAATGAGTACCGGTACTTAACTACGGACAGCGAAAGATTTTATCATGTCAGTTTGTTAGTGTTTTAGCAAGTGTTATCCCCAGCTTGCACTGTATGCCTCTCGGGAAACCAAGAATGTTTCTCAGTGTTCTAGGGTGTGCTGGGGCAATAACAATTGCGAAGCGCATAGAGCATGCTGCAGAGCGTGGAATCTGCGCTCTATCAATGCTGTTATTGTTATTATTTACGTTAGAAAGAAACAAAAACCAAATACAGTTTGTACAATATTGTGTTTGCACGTTTGTGGACGGTCTCGTAGACAACAACTGTGTCTTTGACTACATGAGAGACTGGGAGAGAGCCATCAACGAGCAGAAAGATCTCAATGTCTGCGTTTTATGTTATGAGAATATGCACGTATGTACACAAGGTCGTCGTCGTCATTCAAAATTATTGCGTGTCAAAATACAAGGCTTTCGGGAGAAGCAACACCCCCCCCCCCCCCCCAAAAAGAAAACTTTCTTTTCTGGGCAAAACATTATGTTAAAAGAAAACAGTCTCTCTTCTTATAAAATGTTGATGGGCCCTTTCAAAAAAAATAATTCTTTTTTCAATGCAACAATTTTTGTCCTCATATTTCTTTTAAAAAGCAATATCTGTGTGGATTTTTAAAAGTAAATTTTTAGTTTCCATGTCATAGGAGTCACCAAACATTACCGTCCATCTCCTCGCTGCTTACCTAAAAAAATAATAAAAAGTGAGAAAAAAAACAACAACAGAGGATCCCCCACCTCCTTCAATCGCAAATATCTTGACTTTAATTCAAGACAGATGGATATATTTTTCATCAAAAGCAAGACAATTGAACACACTTTAAGATGATGAGAAAAACTCCACATGCCCAAAACGTGACGAGCGCCTGATTTCACCGTGTTGTGACACATATTATTATTAAAATTCACACACTCCTGTGATATCTCTCCACTCATCAGGCTGGAAACAAAAAGAGAAGTCAAAACCTAAATCAAAATTATACGAAAAGAGGGCATTCACCTCTGTAGACGCTGAGGTGTGGAACAGCTTGTAGAACTGTGTCAGTTATGCTGATTCTTTGGACGTTAGAAATTACCATTAATATTATTAAAGTTATTATTATTATTATTATTATTATTATTATTATTATTATTATTATTATTATTATTATTATTATTATTATTATTGTCATCATTATTATTATCATTAGCATTCTTATGGCAAAGATAACAAAAAGTTTAAGATAATTGTGACATTATGACACATCAACGTTTCTTCTAATAATAAACGATACCATCGCTGCTATGACAATATTATTACAGGAGAACCCACTAGAAGAGGTTCGAAAACTGGCCAAGTTTTTGGGCAAAGACTACGACGATGAGTTTCTGCAGAAAGTGATAAATGCTACTACGATGGAGAACGTTCTCAAACAGAAAGACATGCTGTTCGAAGACAAGTCTGGGCCCATTATGTACCGGAAAGGTAATCTCTGAACTTTGACGTTTGTTACTGAAGTTTTTCGGTACGTGTTCTTGGCATCTGTGGTGCAGCAGCTATAGGCTCTTTGCTGTCACATGCAGAAGAATGGTATTCCCTTCCCAGGTAGGGAAATATGTCTGTAGAAAAAAATAGAAAAAATAAAGTTCCTTTTGTTTGTTTGTTAGACACCGTGTTTTCTTACTAATCATTCACAGTTCGCGTGAGAATTGTAATATGATACAAGCAATGTAAGGTATCAGATTGATAACCTGTTAATGAAGAAGAGGAAGAAGAAGAAGAAGAAGAAGAAGAAGAAGAAGAAGAAGAAGAAGAAGAAGAATTTGCATATCTCACACAATATTCACAGTACAAAGTAGTTCTGTAAAGAATGATTCATTTAGATATCATTATTTCCTTTTCAGGCAAAGTCGGGGACTGGAAAAATCACTTCACGGTGGCTCAGAGCGAATGGTTTGACCACATCACTAGGAGCAGGATGGGAAAATCTAAGGTCTACACATTTAAATATGACATTTGAACTCTGAACCATGAAGAGCATTGTTTGTATTTCTTGATGAGGATTCATCGAAAACTCGGATTCAACAAAAGGAGGTGGATTCCCTGTTTCATTTATTCATTCAAATCAATTTTTAAAAATAAAAAATAACTTGGTTTCTACGAACATATTATAAATCAGCAAGCTCGGATTCAACGAAGTCACTTGCAGGGTGAACAAACACGGTTGACGTGCCTATGCTCATCTTTCTCCCACAAAGGAGCTATAACTATTCTTGAAAATCACCTGCATCTGCATCGTGAACCATTATTTGCTTATAAGCTTATTATTTATACATTATACGACAACCCAGCGGCCTGCTTTCATACCAACTCACGGGTTGTTAGCACGCGCACGTGTTTAGCGTGTGTGGGGATCGATGGGACTGCCAACACACGTGTGACACGTGACTATATATATATATATATATATATATATATATATATATATATGTGTGTGTGTGTGTGTGTGTGTGTGTGTGTGTGTGTGTGCGTGTGTATGTGTGCGTGCGTGCGTGCGTGTGTGTGTGTGTGTGTGCGTGTGTCTGGGGGAGGGGGAACTAGGGACCCTGGAGTGGAACATCAGTAGTCAGTAGAGTAGAGATACAAATGTGTCACAGTACGGACAGTTATTTCCCCCCAGCTGCTAATCAATGTTACAATGATAACCTAGTCTTGACATAGATCTACGTAATGAACTGCGCACTGGTCAGTGGAATCAAACATTTCCGTGTGCTAGGCTGTAAACAGCGACACAACTTGTTCGGCAAATAATAAGTCGTAGATGATAGATGACACATGTGTGCATTTGACCTAACCGGACCTTTTGCTCAGCGTATGCTTGGCAGAGTTCGGCGTATTTTTCCTAGAAATTTTCAGCATTTCTTCGGTATGGCATCAAATAAACGAAAATGCCTCTCATTTGAAACCAAACTACTTTTGATTGAGGAAGTTGAATACATTATACATTACGTGCTCGGTGCCTGTAAGTATCTCCACAAAAACCTCATGTTTGATATAACGAACATTTGTATTCAACGAAACTTAAGGTCAGGCCAGACGACTTCGCTGAATCCGAGTTCCATTGGATTCTCCAGGTGATAGCTTCACTCCTCGAAAACTTTGTCTTAACTCAGATGGAGAAGGGCAAAGAGATGAAAATCCAGCTAAAAGCCTGTAGTAAAGTGATTAGTTTCAACCCAAAAAAGTAAACATTGGCCCTCCTCTGGGAACTTATGTGACTTAGTATGTGTAAAAGACACTGTTAACTTGTAGTTGAAATGGAGGAGAGGAAGAGGGAGGAAAAG